CACCTAACTTGTTCCAACCGTCTACTACTCTGTTTGCGAAAGGGAATTTTCTTATATTTCTTCGGCATCTGTGTTTAGCTAGTTTAAATCTATGACCTCTTGTTCTTAAAGTTCTAGGTCTCAGGAAATCTTCTCTATCGATTTTATCAATTCCTGTTACTGTTTTGTATGTAGTGATCATATCACCTCATTTTCTTCTGTCTTCTAGTTTTGGCATATTTAATGCCTCTAACCTCTCCTCGTAGCTCTTGCCCTTCAGTTCTGGGAGCCACTTAGTAGCGTGTCTTTGCACCTGTTCCAGTTTCTTAATGTGCTTCTTAAGATATGGGCACCACACAACCGCTGCATATTCTAGCTTTGGCCTAACAAAAGTCGTGAACAATTTCTTTAGTATATCGCCATCCATGTATTTAACCCTTAAATGGCGCATAGCTATATACCATTTGACACCCACAGGCGCATACCAAAAAAAAAAAAAAATTAAATTTTCTTCCTAACCTGTTAATTTGTGTTCACTGATCACGGGAAAAATAATAAAAAAAATCATAAGTGGCATATATTGCCCGCTATAGGGCGGGGAATTCTGGCAAAAAATAGGCGCTGACTCAGCATGCGTCCCAGGCGGTCTGTTGATCGCCAGCTGTCAGGCCGGAGTTGCCACAAACAGATAATTACCTAATTATTTCAATGTCTCTGATTGATTTTTCGTAGTTTTTTGCTGTAATATTATTCAATAGTGTGTAGTGTGATATATTTATATAATAAACTGAGTGAATCATCGCTGTACTCAAAAATATGGTGTGCATATTGTTGATTCAATTATGTTCATCAAACAGTGAACAAATACTTTATCGGTTATTACACTATATACACAGGTTATATATAAATATTTGCATGTTTCGTTCACCATAACTGTACATCAAAACTTGTATGGTGAGTAAAGGCACAAAGACGTAGGACCTCACACAGTCAGCTGATGGCTGCCGCCCTCAAGGCCAGACGCACTAATATTTCTCCTACAACAATACTGTTTGTGGTGCTATTACGCTATATACACACATTATATATAAAAATATCTACCTGTTTTATTCACCATACTTGTACAAGTAAACTGGTATGGTGCCCAAAGACCATCGTGGTCATCAGTAAACAACATGGTAAGTCCTGCAGACGACGCTCCACCCTCACCAAAATGGCGGCTCCCAACCTTCTCCTCTTGCTGTTTATACCCTCTATACACACGTTATATATAAGTATCTACATTTGTGTTCACCATAGTGAACCACTAAGCTGGTATGGTGAGTGCAGTCAATAAAAGGTGGCCACACACACTCAAAAGACAACGCCACCACCCTCCCTCCCACAGCATTACTCCTCCCTCCATGGCACACAGCGCTAAATATCACCACAATCCTGCTATTATCAGAACCCTGGTCAGTTTTATCACAGTCAGGGGTCTTCTGTAATAATATCATCGCTACATAATAGCATGAACAAGTATATTATGGCATTTTTAGGAGATGCTGTGGTCACAAGCTGAACAGCAGTGCTGTGAGTTCATGCTGCGTACGTCAGGCTTGGTTGCTCACTCAATACTGAGGCCCCTAACACCTGGGAGTTTGGCCCATGATTTTTTTTTAAAAATGGCGTCTGTTTACAACAGCCCTTATGAAGGTGTGGTGAACCCCGTGTATCCGCGGGCCGTTTAAATCTTGCGTAGTACTCCAAAGCATCACATGATGCGATGCACAATTTACTGCAAGTCAGTCAAAGCATCAAATGATGTGATGCGCAATTGAAGGGTTAAAAGCAATTCTGAAGTTAGAAAGCGTGGCATAGGCTCCTCGCACAATATTCTTTATGTGGTCCTCAGGTAATAGTTCTGTATCTAGAACCACCCCTAGATCTCTTTCTTTATCAGAATTCATTAAAGATTTCTCACATATTATATAGGTTGTGTGGGGGTCTATGTTCTCCTATTCCACAGTCTATAACATGGCATTTATTAACATTAAATTCCATTTGCCAAGTGGTGCTCCATATACTTATTTTGTCCAGGTCATCTTGAAGGGCATGACAGTCATCGAAGTTTCTTATCCTTCCTATTATCTTAGCATCATCAGCAAACATGTTCATATAATTCTGTATACCAACTGGTAGATCATTTATGTAGACAATAAACATCACTGGTGCAAGAACTGAACCCTGTGGTACTCCACTTGTAACATTTCTCCAGTCCGATACATTGCCTCTGATCACTGCCCTCATTTTTCTATCAGTCAGAAAATTTTTCATCCATGTTAGAAGCTTACCTGTCACCCCTCCAATATTTTCTAGTTTCCAGAACAACCTCTTATGTGGAACTCAGGCGAAAGCCTTTTTTAGGTCCAGATAGATGCAGTCAACCCAACCATCTCTTTCCTGTAGTGTGTCTGTTGCTCGATCATAGAAACTGAGTAAATTCGATACACAGGATCTTCCAGATTGAAAATCATACTGTCTGTCTGATATTATATCATTTCTCTCCAGGTGTTCTACCCATTTAGTTTTAATTATTTTTTCCTATATTTTGACTATTACACTTGTCAATGATACAGGTCTATAATTAAGGGGGTCTTCCCTGCTTCCACTTTTGTAGATTGGAACTATGTTAGCCTTTTTCCACACATCAGCTACAACTCCTGTAAACAGGGATGCCTGAAATATCAGTTGAAGTGGAATGCTGAGCTCAGGTTCACATTCCCTCAGAACCCATGGTGAAACTCCATCTGGACCAACTGCTCCAGACGTCTAAACTAATGGTCTAAACTAAATAAAAACTACATTTAGGTAATTTCATTTTGGTAATTACCTGCACAACCACCTTGGGGGAAGCCTGTTGACCACTGGTCACAGAAATCATACCCAGGGGCGAGGCATCCATATACACATTGAGTGACTGAGGAGGAAAGTGCCCTGAAGCCAAACCCCAAAAACCCAAAGATGAAACTGGCAAATACCAAAGGAGGCAAAGGGTAAATTTATCTCACACACCCAATGATCCTGGCAGTGGCAAAAAAAAAAAAAAACTAAACTGGGAGAACCATAAAAGCAACCAGATGTTACCCAGCTCATGAAAAAGACCACCCATACAGTGGGGCCTCGACTTACAACGGTAATCCGTTCCCAGACGGATCATAAGTCAAAATATCATAAGTTGAAGCGATTTTTCCAATAAGAAATAAAGGGAATTTAATTAATCCGTTCCCCACCCTCCAAAATATTAACTTACAAATACATTTTATACTGAATACAATGTTTTTTTTCTAACTACAATACAGGACATAAGTTTATCTTACCTTTATGGAGGTCTCTTGATGGCGTATGGAAGATGGTGATGAGGGGGGAGGAGGAGAGGTGTTACTGTTTGGAAGGGGAGTCCCCTTCCATTATAACATCAGGCAGTGATGACTTTTCTGGGGTACACTCTCTCTTACGTTTTGCCTGCATACCACTAGGACCTGGTTGTGATTCACTGCTTGTTTGTCTCACTAAAAACCTTTCCAGAGATTTTTGTTTTTCCATATGTTTTAATTTTTGTCTGTAGTGAGGCATCACAGTGTCATTAAAAAGGTTAAGGCAACGGCCTACTGCACCGTGATTTGGGTGAGTCGTTTCAGCAAAAGTTTGCAATTCTTCCCATGCTGCACACATTTTCTTAATTAATGAGGAAGGGACATTCTGTACTGTCTCCTCCTCCCCTGAAGAAATTTCCTCAGCTGTCTCTTGTTGCTGCTCCTTGTGAAGTTCTTCGGTGGTCAGTTCTTCGCTGTGTTCCTCCACCAGCTCGCAACACACAACACTCACAACACTATGAATGCCACTTCTTTTTCTAAATTTCTCAAACCATCCCCTGCTCGCCTTAAACTCTTTCACATTTGCATCACTCGTTCCAGGGGTTTTCTTTAAAAGGTCTTCATGCAATTTTCTTGCCTTTTCACAAATGATGGCCTCTGAAACTCTATCACCCGCTAACTCTTTGTTGTGTATCCAAATTAATAATAACTGTTCAACATCTTCAAGTGTTTGTGTTTTATGTTTCGTGATTATTGATACGCCTTTTGCCACTTTAGCACTCGTAATGTACTTTTTCTTAGCCAGTATGGTGGATATTGTTGACTGAGATTTATTGTATTGCCTAACTAGTTCAACAACCCGCACACCATCTTCATATTTACGAATGATCTCTTGTTTCTGCTCTATGGTCATCCTTACATGGGTTTTTGTATGTTGAGCCTTACCACTGACTTTCCTGGGACTCATGGCATGATATATAATAATTACTTTAATGTTCAAAATGCAAAAAATTACCACAAAAGTAGAATTTCTTATAGGCGCGATTGTCACTAAGCGGGCAGCTGTAGTAAACTGAGGCAGGTCGGCCGTGTGACCGGGAACCACGTGCTCGGTCGACCCGAACGTGTACCAACAAATATCGTTAGTCGACGACACCATTGTATGTCGAGTCGCATTTTTCGATGAAATTTACATCGTAACTCGAAATTAACTTAAGTCGGGGCAATCGTAAGTCGAGGTGCCACTGTATTGTTCCCAGAAATAATTAAAGCATCACAAATACATGTTACTTTGTTCAGCACTACAGTTTTCAATGTTATCATTCCGGATACTGTGATGATAATTCTTAAATAATTAAGTACTGGATGATAGCCATCTTTCTTCTACCATCACTTAGATTCTGTTTGGCCATACCTGTAGTAGTAGCTGTCATTGTGTAAATAATGGGTAGTGTATCTACAGCCCAGTATCTGATGTTTTCTTATTTAAAACCATCTTCCCTTGATAATTGTACAAGAGAAGACATATCAAAAGCATAACACAATGAAATAGAAGTCAATAACAAAGAATTTGGGCAGTTCTAAAAAATATAATATCCTGAAAATGTCTGCATACTTTCATCATCCAAAGAATAAAAAATAAATGCGTGTCAACATCTTAATCACCTGTGCTTTTTTTTTATATCAGCGAACACTAAAACATCCTCTGCTCCAATTGCCCTTCGGTACCGCAGTAGAGGTCCAGCACAACCATCCATCAGTCCCTCATCAGCTACATGAGAAAATATAAAACACTCGGCACGGATGAACTGAAATCCGCATGCTTTACTCACGGCCAATGCTTCCTGGTTTCCTCCTGCAAGTATCTGGCACAGAGAAATTGTTGTGACATGTATAAAGTATTCGTGAGCCTTAAATAAGTACCTGTCACACGGTTAATACAATACCTGTCACAAGGTTAATACAATACATTAAAATAGGCACCAAATAGCACTACAGTGAGTAATTATCTAAGTGTAATTACCTAAGTGTAGCTACAGGATGAGAGCTACGCTCGTGGTGTCCTGTCTTCCCAGTACTCTTTGTCGTTTAACACTGTGAAACTACTGATGGTTTTGGCCTCCACCACCTTCTCACTTAACTTGTTCTAACCTTCTACCACTCTGTTAGCAAAAGAAAACTTTCTAATATTTTTTTGGCACATTTGTTTCCTTAGCTTGAATCTGTGTCCTCATGTTCGTGAAGTTGCTGGTTTCAGGAATTCCTCTGTCAATTTTGTCGATTCCTATTATTATTTTGTAAGTGGTGATCAAATCACCTTTTTTTTCTTCTATCTTCTAGTTTTGGCACATTAACACCTCTAGCCTCTCCTCGCTTATCTTGTTTTTCAGTTGCCACAGAGTTGCCAGGGAGCCTCCGGGGCTCACCCAGAAAATGGAGTTTCATTACATTCAACACTGGTTTTCTGTGGGAAGCCCCTATGGCTCCCTGGAGCTACATCACCAAAAAGAAGGAAATAGGGACTTACTCTGGAGGCGGACGGCACTCGCTCCTCAACTCGAAGTCGAGACATCTGGCTGCAACCTGCGACCCAAAATCACACATGGACGACTAGGACCAGAAACGTTGATGAGATAAGGTGTGGCCAGGACCCTGTTCGACCTCCAAAATCCCTGATTCCAATGTCAGCCCAGGACATATTGCCGTAGACGGCAGTCAAAGCAGCAAACTTACGAACGTCATCGGCACGAGGATAAACTGCAGGCTGGCTAGATTTAATGACACTGCAGACAACCTGGGAGACCCGAGCCCTGGAACAGAGTATGAGGGGAAACCACATCAACCCAAAGCACATTCCTGGCCACAGAAACTTAGGCGCGCAAGTAACGGCGAAGAGCCGCAATCGAACACAACACATGATGCACCCTCGGCCTGACCATCCAAGTATCAATGACCCCTTCGGAAAGCAGCCGTCTCATTCTTCACCAGAAAACAAGGCTGCAACCAAACAAACCGATTACCAGGACTGAAAGAGCAGAAACCCCTGCACCAGAGGAGAGCTTTTTGACACACTGTATTCCCCTTCATATAGTCTAGGGTAGCTGCACAAATACAGATGTACCTAATGTATTAATAAAAAAAAAAATGACTAGCTGGGAAAGCACCAAACCCTTCCAGTTTGTTGATGTGCTTCTTAAGATATGGGTACCACACAACCACTGCATATTCTAGCTGTTGCCTAACAAAAGTCGTGAACAATTTCTTTAGTATTTTGCCATCTATGTATTTAAAAGCAATTATGAAGTTAGAAAGTGTGACATAGGCTCCTCGCACAACGTTCTTTATGTGGTCCTCAGGTGGTAGTTTTCTATTTAAAACCACCTCGGTCGGGGAGCCGGTCGGCCGAGTGGACAGCACGCTGGACTTGTGATCCTGTGGTTCCGGGTTCGATCCCGGGCGCCGGTGAGAAACAATGGGCAAAAGTTTCTTTCACCCTATGCCCCTGTTACCTAGCAGTAAAATAGGTACCTGGGTGTTAGTCAGCTGTCACGGGCTGCTTCCTGGGGGTGGAGGCCTGGTCGAGGACCGGGCCGCGGGGACACTAAAGTCCCAAAATCATCTCAAGATAACCCCTGGATCTATTTCTTTATCAGAATTCTTTAAAGATTTCTCACATAATTTATAGGTTGTGTGAAGTCTGTGTTCTCCTATTCCACATTCCATAACATGGTATTTATTCACATTAAATTCCATTTGCCAGGTGGTGCTCCATATACTTATTTTGTCCAGGTCTTCTTGAAAGGCATGACAATCATCTAAGTTTCTTATCCTTCTTATTACCTTAGCATCATCAGCAAACATGTTCATATAATTCTGTATACCAACTGGTAGATCATTTATGTAGACAATGAACATCACCGGTGCAAGAACTGAACCCTGTGGTACTCCACTTGTGACATTTCTCCAGTCCAATACATTGCCTCTGATTACTGCCCTCATTTTTCTATCAGTCAGAAAATTTTTCATCCATGTTAGAAGCTTACCTGTCACCCCTCCAATATTTTCCAGTTTCCAGAACAACCTCTTATGTGGAACTCTATCAAAAGCCTTTTTTAGGTCCAGATAGATGCAGTCAATCCAACCATCTCTTTCCTGTAAAATCTCTGTGGCTCGATCGTGGAAACTGAGTAAATTCGATACACAGGATCTTCCAGATCGAAAACCATACTGTCTGTCTGATCTTATATCATTTCTCTCTAGGTGTTCTACCCATTTAGTTTTATTATTTTTTCCAATATTTTCACTATTACACTAGTCAATGATACAGGTCTATAATTGAGGGAGTCTTCCCTGCTTCCACTTTTGTAGATTGGAACTATGTTAGCCTTTTTCCACACATCTGCTACGACTCCTGTAAACAGGGATGCCTGAAAGATCACGTGAAGTGGAATGCTGAGCTCAGATGCACATTCTCTCAGAACCCATAGTGAAACTTTATCTGGGCCAACTGCTTTGTTCTTACTTAGTGTAGTAAAAGTGTTATTATATTATTGTACCCGGATGGATGCTCGCTTGACTGTTTTGTTGTCAGGTCAGCTGTGTCGTGCCTGTGTACAGGTTAGTTTAATGTTGACTCCTAGCTTAATTTCTATTTGTTCTAGCATTAGTCATGTGCAGTTTGCTTATAATTATATACTGTACAGCTTAAGCACTGTTTTTTCTTTATAAGTATTGTATATTATATGGCTTGTGTTATTGCAGGATATAACTGTACTGTAATTATTTGCTCAATAAAGCCACATGTCTGGCAATGCTTCTCCTTTACCTCACTTAGCTCCTTTAGCATATTTTCCACTTCATCTCTAGACACCCCTACATGCTCTATGTTGTTCTCTGGAATTCTTATTGTGTCTGGTTCTCTGAAGATTTCATTTTGTACAAACACATTTTGGAACTTTTTGTTTAATGAACTTTACAGTAATTTTATAATTTTAAGTGTTAATTTTAGTGTTGTGTTAGTATAGGTTATGTAAATTGTCAAGAATTCTTAACTTCAAGATGTGTGGCATTAATCAAGAAGACAAACAACAACAAGGTAAGTTGAGTTTTATAGTTGAATATTTTATAATTATATGTGGCAAGGCAATTCAAATTATGTTATTTGTGGTAGAAAAATAGTTGGAAATGGTCACTTTTGGACTCAGAGGTGAAAAAGTACGTTAATCTGAAAAACGTGATAATCCGGCTGGTGTTCCTTCCCATATAGTCCGGATTAACGAGTGGATACAGTATATATAAAAGAACCAAGAGGTGACCAAAGGCAGATTCCCCACCTTGCAGGAAAACAAAAAACAAAAGGAAAACCCCACAAGAGGACAATGTATCCAGGTGAAACAGAGCTGGACGCTATAATAGGTGATAACTAGCTATGCAGTACCCTGCGCTCCTACCAGTGACAAAAACTACCTCCTACCCAGAGGCAAACAAGGGCAACAGGGCCCCGAGCTGACTCCAAAGGCAGTCAAGTACCGATCAAGTAAAAAGCACAGTGGAGGTAGACCCCAAGGTGGCCCCAAACCTTAGGGCAGTACTTACTGGGTACCTAGGGAAGGTAACCCTAGGCGCATGCAGCCCAAGTACTGTAGAATATTACTCCTGGCTCACACACCCACTATAGAGACAGACTTCGCCACAAGGCACAGTAACTGAGAAAAAACCCAGCATTGAATGTAATGAAATGCCATTTTCTGGGTGAGACCCGGAGGCTCCCGGGTCCAGTCTGGGTCCCGGACCTGGAGGAGCAATTGTCACCAGAATAGGGGTTTGTTTTGGGACGCTTACCTTTCTGCGTGCTTGACTCGGTTGATGGCAGACATAGAATGCTTCCAACCACACAGGGGTTTCTATAGGCCATTGTTCCCCTTGCCTCTCTGAGGGGGCCAGGTTCTGGCACGTGGAATAACGCTAGGCCCATAGTACTCCATACACATGACTGATGCCAAAGTCTGACATTAGCATATCAGCCTGGATAAGTTCCGGGGAGCCAAAGGGGCTCCCCCCAGAAAAACTGAAGTCAGAGGTACCCGATTGGCCAGGAATCGCATCAACCAAGAACTGTAGGTTGGATCGCTGGTGCAAGGGTCTAGAGCTCCCCCTTCCCCCTCCCGGGAAGTGGGGGTGTTCACAGACAGCGGCATGGCGACGTGATGAAGGCATGCTAGTTGCTAGTTTTCTTTTGGAGAGTTCTGTCCACTCGATCGGCTTTCGGTAGCAATTTTTTCACCAGATTAGGGGTTTGTTTTGGGATGCCTACCTTTCTGGATGACAGACCTGGTCGATGGCAGACATAGCTTCCAACCACACGGGGGTTTCTATAGGCCATTGCTCCTTGCGCCTCTCTGAGGGGGGCCAGGTTCTTGCTTGTGGTCCCCGGTAGGCAAGAACTCCTAGCACTTTGACTGATGCCAGAAAGCTAATAAGTTTGTATCAGCCTGGATAGCTCCAGGGAGCCAACGGGGCTCCTCCCAGAAAATAATAATTTATATTCACAATACCTGAACACCGCAGGGCACCTTCTTTGGGATGATGTTGCGCACCTCACCACAAACTCTGGTCATGCATGCTATGACTTCAGGTCCCAAGAATGACTGTTTAACATAAGGGAGATCAAACATATTTTCAACCAAAACGCCATCCTGAAACAAATAAAAATATATTTCTTTAAATACAACATACTCTGGATTTCTGGAAAGCTCCTTTCTAAGCAAATTCATTCTGCCACACATTCTGCGGTCGTTAACCCTTCCACTGCTCAGGGGTCCTGAGGACATTTACACCCCTATGCACAAGAAAAAAAAAATTCAAAATTTTTTTTCGTCTTCTAAACATGTTAATTTGTGTCCCCTGAGCATGGAAAAAATAAAAAAAAAATCGTAGGTGACATATTTTGGGCGCAATTGACTGAGGAAGTCTGGCAAAAAGTGGGCTTTGACAGAGTGGTCGTCAGAGCCGGTCAGCATCACCCACGCTGACAGGTGGGAGTTGCCACAGATATAAATAAATAAATAAGTAAATAAATGTTTATTTAGGTATGGTACATACATACAAGAGATTTTACAAAGATCGATGGATTTATAGATAGAGCTAGTACATACAATGCCTAAAGCCACTATTACGCAAAGCGTTTCGGGCAGGAAAAACTTAAATGACTAAAGCTTAATACTAATTGAGTATAAAGAATAAAATGTGTTGAGAACAAATAAAAATAGAGATAAAAAAGGGGGGAACATGGCTGAAAAAGCAGCACAAATACAATTAGGTCGACAAACAGCGTTGTTTAAAAAAAAAAAAAAACAGACATTGATTGACAATAGAGGGGTAAGGTAGGTTACAGGGAATTTATTAGGTAGTGCTTCATTTTTATCTTAAACTGGTTGAGAGAGGTACACTCTTTAACATGGTTGGGAAGGTCATTCCACATTCTGGGTCCCTTGATTTGTAGAGCATTTCTAGTTTGATTAAGTCGTACACTTGGAATATCAAAACTGCATTTATTTCTGGTGTGGTGCTCATGGGTTCTGTTACAACCTTCAATGAAGCTTTTGAGGTCAGGATTGGCATTACAGTTCAGCGTTTTATATATGTATAATACACATGAGAGAATGTGCAGTGACTTAATGTCTAACATATTCAGAGATTTGAGTAGAGGTACCGAGTGATGTCTGGGGCCAGAGTTGGATGTTGTCCTAATAGCAGCATTGTCTTGAGTAATTAGAGGACGTAAATGATTTTGGGTAGTAGAACCCCAAGCACAAATACCATAGTTGAGATATGGATAGATGAGGGAGTAATAGAGAGTCACCAGGGCAGGGCGGGGTACATAATACCTGATCTTAGAAAGAATGCCAACAGTTTTTGAAACTTTTTTTTTATATATTTAGAATGTGTCCCTGGAAATTCAGCTTTTGGTCAATGAGAACGCTAAGGAATTTGCCATCTAATTTGTTACAAATTTGGGTATTGTTTATTTTGAGATTTATTTGATTAGAGGATTTATTGCCAAACGGAATATAGAAAGTTTTGTCAATGTGTTAAGGGTGAGTTTGTTGGCAGTTAGCCAAAGATGGACTTTATTTAGCTCAGTATTTACTGTGGCATTTAGAGCAAGGGGTCAGGACTGGAGTAAATGAAGGTTGCGTCGTCAGCAAATAGAATTGGTTTGAGGTGTTGGGAGGCATTTGGAAGGTCATTAATGTAGATGAGAAAGAGGAGAAAGTTTTTTTGCAGTAATATTATTCAATAGTGTGTATTGTAGTATATTTATATAATAAAAGTGGTGAATAATTGCTATACTCAAAAGTAAGGTGTGCATATTAGTGATTCAATTATTATGTTCATAAAACAATAAACAAATAGTTTTGCTGCTATTACACTCCATACACAGGTTATATATAATTATGTACATGTTTTGTTCACCATAACGAACCACTAAGTTGGTATTGAGAGTCGAAAAGCAACGAGGAGTTACCGCCACACACCAGCCAGCCACTCGCTGCCACTTCCTCAACACACGCACTAAACTTTCTCCCCCAACAATACCATTTATGGTGTTATTACACTATATACAATCGTTATATATAAGTATGTATATATTTTGTTCACCACAACTGTACAGCTAAGCTGATATAGTTAGTTCAGGCACTAAGAGTCGTCGCTATACACACATTCAGTTGGCAGCTTCCTCACTCATTCAAGGTCACATGCACTAAACTTTCTCCCCCAACAATACTGTTTGCAGTGTTATTACACTATATACACATATTATATATAAGTATCTACATGTTGTATGCACCGTAACTGTACACCTAAGCTTGTAGTGCGCCCAAAGAGCATAGTGGCCACCCTCTAAACAGCTAGACAAATCATGCAGACGACATCACCTCCGTCACCCAAATGGCTCTTCCCAGCATAATCCTTTTGCTGTGATTACACTAATACACACATTATATGTATCTACATTTGTGTTCACCATAGAGAACCACTCAGCTGGTATGGTGAATGCAAACAATAACAGGTGGCCACACAGTCAGTAAATGATGCTATCTCCCTCCGTCTCTCAGCATCACTCCTCCCACAGCGCTAATTATTACAACAATCCTGCTATTATCACAACCCTGGTTATTTATATCACAGTCAAGGGTCATCTGTAATATTGTCATCGCTAAATAATAACAATTATATATTTATTTTGACATTTTTCAGCGATGCTGTGGTCACAAGCTGAACAGCAATGCTGTTCGCTCATGCTGCGTGCGCCAGCCTTGGTTGCTCCAACAGTACTGTGCCTCTCACACCTGAGAATATTGCCCATGATTTTTTTTTTTTAAATGGGGTCTGTTTACAAGAGCCCTGAGGAAGCTAATGTGAACCCTGTGTAGCCGTGGCCATTTGAATCGGGCCTGGCACCCTTGGGCGTATATATACGCCATGCGCACAGTGGGACATGTTACTCAGAGCATATATATACGCCATGCGCAGTTTAAGGGTTAATAGTCACGAATTCATATGTACTTAGCTTTTAGATAGTACAGTGGCACCTCGACTTACGATTGCCCCGACTGAAGATAATTTTGAGTTACGATGTAAATTTCATAGAAAAATGCAACTCGACGTCTGATGGTGTCGTTGACTTATGGTATTTGTTGGTACACGTTTGGGTCGACCGAGCGCGTGGTTCCCGGTCACGCGGTCCGAACTGCCTCAGTTTACTACAGCTGCCCGCTTAGTGATGATCGCGCCTATAAGAAATTCCGCGTTTGTGGTGATTTTTTGCATTTTGAACACATTAAAGTAATTATTATATATCACACCATGAGTCCCAGGAAAGTCCCATATGAGATCCCATGTAAGAATGACCATAGAGCAGAAACAAGAGATCATTCGTAAATATGAAGATGGTGTGCGGGTTGTTGAACTGGCTAGGCAGTATAAGAAAACTCAGTCAACGATATCCACCATACTGGCTAAGAAAAAGGATATTATGAGTGCTAAAGTGGCAAAAGGCATATCAATAATCACGAAACATAGAACACAAACACTTGAAGATGTTGAACAGTTACTGTATTATTAATTTGGATACACAACAAGGAGTTAGCGGGTGATAGCATTTCAGAGGCCATCATTTGTGAAAAGGTAAGAAATTTGCATGAAGACCTTTTAAAGAAAACCCCTAAAACGAGTGATGCAGAAGTGAAAGAGTTTAACCCTTTAACTACGTGGCCTATATATATGACACCCCCCCAGTGCGCAGGAAATAAATTCTCTTGAAAAAATTCTTTTGTTTTTTTTTTAAAGTGTCAAAAACCCTTTCCCCAGTATGGGTATGTCAAAAAAATTTCAAACTTGTACTTACTTTGGCTGCTATGGGGTCCGTAAGTTGGCGCGTGACGTCATCATTCCCCGTTTGCCCGTGCAGTAAGCTCCCGGGGCCGGTGGGGCGCCGGGACGGGGCATGCGAGTTGCCACGAATATATTTTTGTTCAATTTTTGCGCCCAGTTCCAAATACATTTTATTTGTTTTTACGTGCTAATCCTATGTATAATGAACACGTACACTATATTATGGCAGTAAAACATCCGTACTGTCTGAGGACACTGTGTTACGTGCATGACACTTGTGTACACATATGTTGCACATATTTACCATGTATCATGCTAATTTATGTATATATACAATCTATTTACAGACTATACACTGTCACACACTATATACATTCACCATCAACACACTCAGAACACCGTGAGTGTGAGCAGCCACACCCAGCCAGCCCTCCCTCACTCCAACATCTTACTCGCCAACATTGCTCCTCCCACCATACTGTTATTGTATTTATTACACGATTTACACATGTTATATATACCTATCTACATGTTTTATTTACCAGAACTATGCAAGTAAGCCGATATTGTGTCCAAACAGTACAATGGCCACCATGCCCTGCATGACAAATCACACAGCAGACAGCAGACGACGCCACGATTACGACGTCACCTCCCTCACCAAAATAGCTCCTCACAACATACTCCTGGTGCTGTTATTACACTATTCACACACACTGTATATACCCATGTACATGTGTGTTCCCCATAGCACACACGAAGCTAGTACGGTGAGCAAAACAAGAGTTACTGCCACACAGTGAGGCTACCTCAATTCTCTCCCTTCCTCCCTCCCTCACCAAAATTCCTCCTTCCTACGCACAACGCTCATTATAACCACAATCCTGGTCACTAATACCTGTAAATGAATAACTGATCACAAGTTTATTTTGAAAAGGAACCTAAAAAGTTGCTTGAAGATTCCTAGATGGACAAAATAATGCTGTGGTGCTGTGGCTAACGCTGTGAACATTGTGAACAGCATTGAATCACTGATATTTGAACATTGTACCCAGTCATTATCACACTCGGGCTCTTCTATAATGCTATTAGGGCTAAATAAAACAGATTATATATATATTTTGACAATATTAGGCGATGCTGCGGTCACACGCTGAACAGCAGTGCTGTGCGCTCATGCTGCGAGCGCCAGCCTTGGTTGCTCACTCACTACTGAGGCTCTGACACCCGGCAATGTGGACCATGATTTTTTTTTAAGATGGCGTCTGTTTACAAGAGCCCTGAGGAAGCTGATGTG